CTAGAGTTAGATTCCAGTTTGTTCTTCTATCCAACACAGAATTGAACAAAACAAGCAAACAGCAGTGGTGATGTTGATTTGAAAAATTCAAAGTGAAGTGTGAGGGAGAAACTGGCTCCACAGAAAGAGCTTGGGCTGAGTGGAAGATAAGTAAAAGAGGAAGAAACAAGGTAAAAGTACACCCTGGAGAAGCAGGGCAGGCTATCGTGAGGAAAGCCACTATCGCAAGCTCTTCATGGCATTGGTGTGTCTTTTATGCTGTCAAATCTCAAGGAAACATGCAAGAACTTCTACATCCGGTCCTGAGAGGCTGATGTCAGGTCTGGGTGTCCTACTGAAAACCTGCCGGAGTTCTCCAGGGCTCTGGGAACAGTTCTGCACATGCATCCTCAGATCTTGTAATTAACAGGTCACGCCTCCTTCCCCAGCCAGCTCTGCCATGCTCTAATCTCCTGCCTCACCTGCCCTATCAAAAATACATCACTCTCCGTAAGAATTAGGAAGGGTTGATTTTTTTTGTTTTTTTAGAAAATTGCTATGAAAAATTTCATCACTCATTCCTTGATACCTGTCAACTTCTTTATTTTCCTCTCATTCTGTCAGTTCTCTTTACCCCTCTCATCTTTAGGGAAACATGAAAAAGAAAATATGATAACATGACATATCACTGCCAAATCCATTGTTTCTCATTTCCTTTATGCCGATTCTGGCAGCACCTGCATAGCAAGCTGCACTGTTTGCATATTCTACAACTAGACATCGACTTTTAAATTTTTCTCTCTATAATACTGAGAATAAAACCATCAGTTATGTAAATCCCTATGCCATATGAGATTTTGTTCCTCTGAAGATGAAAACAAGCACAAGAATGTTCCTGAAAAGTAATAAGCTTATTTTTAATTACTTTCTAATTTCTTGGTTAATTACAAAAGATTGATTACAAGAGACATTTCATCTCCCATGCCTTTGCCATGTCATAAAAAGTGAAGAGCAGCAGCATGACCATGTCCAGAAATATGTTTACATGCGACGATAGTTATTTCATTTTAACCTGAAAACAGGGCTGCACAACAGGCTTCTCTGATGAAGGAATTAGATCACTACTATCTTAGCCAGGTCAGGACTAGTTTAAGCCTCAAGATTTAAAGGCTCTGGTTATGAGTCAAAAATGAGGGGCCAGATCTGCCAGCCCCCCGGCTGAACAGGATCTGCCAACCCTATTAGAACAACGAGCCCTGGCACGTAAACACAGGTAGGCACAACAGCCGGGGATCAAAGGTTTCCGAGAAACCCTGACCCAAGACAGCTGCTATCTCTGTAAAAGCTACAGCCTGGAAGAGACAGGATCATTCTGGTTCATGCCAAAAGGTCCTTCTCAGGTTTTGACTCCATTAAAGGCTGTCCTCTGTGATGGAGCTCCCCTACCTTCATTCTCTCCTAACATTTATATTTGTAGAATACATTTGTGTTACAAAGAGGAGAATTTTCATTTCAATGTGTATTACATTAAATGCACACAATGGGTTCTTATAAGAATCATACACATCCTCAATTTTAACAGTCTCAGTTGTACTATATTTTGTGTATATATTATAAAAATGTAGAATGAAATTTTTCATATAACAATTTATAATTTTTAGGTCATTGCAAAATATACTCCTTTTGTAGTATATAATGTTGTCAACTCTAAAACTATATTTAACAATTTGTTAACTTCTTGCTGAAGTTTAAGATTTTTAAAGAAAATTCTCTACTCTCAGACTACTAAGCCTGATAATGAATGTTTGGTTAATACCGAGAAGTAGAATGAATCATTAATGCAAAAAATACATCACTATTAACTACTCAATGGAACTGCTTCTGTATAAATTAAGAGATCATAAGCTACCATAATTTTATTTTTTCTTAAAAACACAAGGCATAAAATTATTAAATGAATATCATTTTCAATAAATACCAAAAAAGCATTTCTGTGTTATTAGTCAAATTTCAAGTTATTTAAATTCCTCTTCAGTGAGTAAGGGAAATTAACCAGCTGATACCTTAGTACATTGAAAGCCCATTCTATGGAGTTAATTACTAAAGTTTTGAAAATGGACTTTTGTTCCGCATTTAGTCAGGGCCTTTGAAAAGCTCAGCAAGTAGTGGGAGCTTTCCAAGGGACAGAAGTGTAATATACCCTTCTCATCCTCCAGAAAATTTCACCCACTTTAACTCCTTCAGGAAAGAAGAGGGTAAGGACTCAAGCTTGGTCCAGTAACCAGAGCTTCATGGTGTAAGGAATATTTTGATTCAGATCAAACGTAGGATAGCATGGCTGTGTCTGGTCATCCCAAGCCCAAGGCCCGCAGAATCTTTTGATTTTATGGAGAAGAAAGAGAATTCATTCTTCAGTTTATTAAAGGCTAAGAGGATATTTTCATTCATTAGCCCTTGCCCTAGAGGACTAATGTATATGGTGGAAGCCGCATGGGTGGGGATCTGGGCGGAGACAGGAGAGGAGCTGAATCACTGGTGGCACCAGGTCTCTTCCCTCTCAGGCACTCAAGAAAATTAAAACAGAACCCAAGCAAGGAATGCAAGAATCTTTGAAGTGTTGAGAACTTCAGATGCTCTGAAAAAATGCATTTCCCAAAATTTTACAAAAATATTAATTTAAAAAAACTATCTTGGTCAAATTTTTAATATAAATTTGTAAAGCCTTTTTAGTGTTTTATTGTGTATATTAAGGCATGTATGACATGATGCTTTATGTATTATGTCTCAAAAGAAGTATATGTGTTTATATATATGCACATAAATGTGTGCAAATATCTCAAGATACACAGGCACACACACAGGCACAGTGAAATCATTAGTACCATCAAGCAAACTGCCATACGTATTTTGGTATTTTTAAACTCCTCACCCTTGATTTACCTTACAGACTACACCAAAGAAGCAGGAGCATGAGAGGCAGAGAAGCAAAACAGAGGAAAAAGAAAAGGAGAAAGAAAAAGGAGAATTGCAGGCAAAACTGAGGAGCAAGCAGGCAGGACAAGAATACAGATTCTTAGCAAAATGGTACAAAATTACAAAGAAACCAGCGCGGCTGAGTAGATTGCGAACATTCTACGAAATAACTCTTCCTGCGCACTTAATGCTCGACATTGTTTATCCAAGGCCAGGTGCAGTACACGGCTGAGGGCGCCCTCGCCCCCGGGAACGGGCAGTGCTGCTAGGACCCCAAGGCTCAGGTCTGAAGCAGAGGAGGGGCTCCCAGACGGCTGCTGCCCGCCCGACCCCCTGTGCCCAGAGCCGCGCGCGTGCTCCACAGCAATCCCGCCCGGGCCACGGGGAACGGTACGGCCCTTCCACCGTCTTCACGCTCATTCCTGCGAGAAGCGTGGCCTCTGTTTTCCTAGGCCCTAAGGACGTGAAACCTTGACCCTGGACCAGGCGCTTTTCAGATGCTGTCCTTATGACTTATTTGAAATGAGGATGATGTCAGCTGAGAGAAGAGGGGTGGGGTGATGCTAGGTCCCAGGAGGGAAACGAATATTGATCAAGGACAACGTGTGCGTCAGCCCTCAACCTGCCAGGCAACGGCACCCGCCAAAGGTATCACAGGAGGTGGCATCAACACAGGAAGAACGCGCGTCATGAAAATCCAACAACACAGATGCTCAGCCACACATATTTACACACAAGCCGGACTTGTTTAGAACTGGATTTCATGACATTGGAAGGAGAACGGACCCTATCAGTTGCTCAGGTGTTTCTGATGCAGAATGAATCTTTACTATATTAACAACAATTTACACAGCTAACAGTTTATTTTTGGAAATGCAAGTTAATTTCCAGTCTCACCATTCACTGCAAAAACAGAGATAATTAGTTTGAGCTGCAACATGAAATTTGATGATCATTCGTGCCAATGAAAATGGAATTAATTGTATATACAGGTCAGATAGCTATCATTTAATTTTTCATTCTTGCTCAGTTAAATCCCCATGAAGTGTTGGCAAGATTCTCATGTATTTTACCACACATCCTGAAAGGAACAAGGATGTTTAGAAAGATCCTCAAACACAGGGCCAGGGATTTAGCTCAGTGGCACTGTGCCTGCTTTGCACATGCCTGCCTGAGTTCGATCCCCTGTACAAAAAAAAAGCCTCAAACATTCTTTGCAGCCTTTTTCATAATACATAGAAACAATTAAAATAAAATAGTGCCTTTTATTGATTCCTATTATTTGGATGCTTTTTAACGATTAGCCAAGTTGTAAACCCTTCGAGTCAAAAGTGACGCCATGCTGTGGGAACATATCAGCTCTCTCCAAGAACACCCAGAGCACAGGCCCGCTGTGTGCAGCCAGGCTGGGCTCCCCGGTGCCCCTGGAGGAGGTTACCACAGCTGGACAGCCTCGGAACTGCTCCACCTATGTTAGCTCTGCGCCTTCACTCCTGGTGCCAGGCGGAGACACGGAAAACCCTAACATGCTTTATCAGACACAGTGCAGTCCCCAAAGGTTCCACATCAACTCCCTATACTGTATCCTTAATGCACTTTTACATCAATTCCAAGATAAAGAAAAGCTGATACAAGAGTGTTGTATGCCGAACAGATTTCTGTAACTGTGGATCATTCATCATGTCACCTTCAAGTGAACATTCTCTCCATGTGAGATGTGATTCTGTCATTTAAATTATTATTCTTTCAAAGAAATGCCAGGATTTTGCAAGTGAGTAGGAAGAATAATCATAATGACAATTTGGAAAAATATTAACAGTTAAATTGATAAAAATAGCAAAGTACAACTGCATTCGTGATAAATTCACCTACTTCCTAGGCATGAAAAGAAACACATAATGAGAAATTCATCACTAATATTGACCAATGGAAATATATCCACAAGAGACAGAGTCAGACCAAATGCAATCCTCCATTTATTCTAGACACAAATCACTTGATGAGTGGACATGGATTTCACAGCTTGGCTGGAGCCGGCAGACGCTTACCTCACGTGGGTGATGAGCAGGGTACTGGCCGGGATGAAGAAGTCATCCACCCTGTCGAACTGGCGGCCCACGGGCTGCGTGTGCACTGTGTGGTGCGGTCCACTCCCGCTGGCCAGGGTCACCACCTGCAAGAGCACATGCAGTCATGGGAGGCCATGCACAGCCCCGCTTCCGTGTTGTTTAAAAAAATATTAATGTTTCTGGAATTTACGTGTACACTCATTTTGCCCTCTTGAAAATTATTCTGTCATTAATGAAATGTCAATTTGTATGCTTTATGTACTTTAAATAAGGAAATTTTTACCTCTATTAAAAAACTTCTGAATTTTGAAAACTAACTGCTGTAATGAGATAATAAGAGCAAGTATAGGAGATCTGAGGCTTCATCAGGACAGAATCCCTTCTTTATCGCAAACCTTGAAATGTAAGCATGAAAACTCCAAAACAAGTCATATGAGACCTCTTTAAAAAGCTTAGACTACATGAAACCATATCTTAAAATCATTTCTTTCTGTAAATTGAAAATAATCAATTGAGGTAAATTTCAATCAAAGAAATAAACAATGTATTTGCCTTCGGCAAAATAACCACCTTTTAGTCACTCACTGATAGCAAATAAACAGCAGATCCTGGAATGTGAATCAAATCCACCTACTGATTGCAGCCAGCTGGCCTTGCAACTGTGTCTGATGATGTTTACACATGCACAAAGTTGCCCAGGCACCTACAGGGCTTTCTCGGGGCTGGAGCGTAGCCCAGTGGTAGAGTACTCTTCTAGCAAGGCCAAGGCTCTGGGTTCCATTCCCAGCACCAAAATAAATACATAAATAAAAATAAAGAGCCTTCTTTCCTGCCTATAAAATTTCACTTTCAAATCCTTCCTACCAAGGGCCACCAAATTAACTTCCTGCTCTGTGAATTATGTGATACCTCTCTCTCAAAACTATGTCTTTTCTTTGGCTTTTTATGGCAGAAATAAGTAGCCTTGAATTCTGGGTCTTGGCCTTGGTGGTTCTGGGTCCTTTTTCCTGCTGTCATTGAGCAGGATGAGGACTGGCACTTGTGGGGCCGAGAGGAACAGGACTCCACCTCCTCTTCGTCCACAAACCCAGGCTGGCGGCAGCCCCGGGCACACCCTGTGGGTGCCCTGACCCCTCCACACATCCCACGCACCTCTCACCTTCCCCCTAAGCCCCAATTCCTGGATCGCAGAAAGTGAAAAGACTTCATGCCCCACCGTCCCGTGGGAATATTGTCATCCCTAAAATTTGGGCATTTGTGAAGACATCACATACCAATTATAAAACTGCAGAATACACACACGTTTTGGAGTAGAAATTCTTAAATTTTTATAAGGGATAGATGTCAGAAAGGAAAAGGATAGTTATGATAAATCTTAGAGAATTTATCTAGAAATACTAATTGGAAAGTCATTGCCATACATACCTAACATTGTGACCGTATATGAATTTTTTATTAATGAAAACTATCACAGAAAGTTTATATTTTGTATTCAAAATTGTCAAAGATATATAGCTTAAATTACAAGCATGAAATGGAAATAAGGCTTTCTTTCTTGAGAAAAGTCTTCCTAGGTCAGTGGGCACCATTATAAAATATGCTGTGTGAGGGCCAAATATATATATACTGTCTCAGCCTGTTACCAAGTCTCCTCCAATTTTACGGCCCCGGAGCACTCGAGCAAAAGGAGGTCTTGGGCACTGCATTTCCTTAGAATACCTTTTCCTTTTGCAAACATTTGTTGATATTTCATAATAACCCTCGAGGGAGACAATTACCCACGAACATCTGAGCAAAGGGCCCGGCCAGCCTGGTTAAAGCACGACGTTCTGACAACAGTGCTGCGAGCACAGGGCCAGTGAGCTCGGAGGAGAGCCTTTACCTCAACCAAGCCAAGTGCTCAAGAGGCTGGCACTGGCCAGCCCTGCCCTCCCAGGAGACTCCACACAGCCCAGAGCAAGGCCGGCCTCACTTGGAGGACAGCTCTGCCACCTGCAGCCTCTCATGTCCCAGCCACCTGTCCCACAGTGCAGTCCTGCATCCGGCCCGGCCGCCCGCTGACGGCTGGGGATCAGCAGGACCCTGCAGGGGTCAAAAGAGCCTGCTCCGGGCTCGGCCGTGCCTTGGTTCGCATCTCCCCATCACGGAGCGTTGTTCAGACAGCTCTTCCGCCAGCCTCATCATCCTCACCTCTACATTTCATGCAATGTTTTCATGTATAACAGTTACCTTTCACTCCCACTCAGTAAATATTTTAAAAGTCACTACGTTCTATTTGCACAACTTCTTTAGGCATTCAGAAAAAAACTAAACAATATATTTTTGCATGCCTAGATAATGTGTGGGAAGTTACATAGGACCTCTATAGAGCCTTTTTTCCTGTGCAAAATTAAAGCAGATTGTCTAAACAGTTTAGTGAAAATATAGCAACCCTTAGACCACTGTTCCCAAAGTGCCTTGGATAAGAAAAGAGGCAGGGATTGGTTCTGAAGAATATAGCGCAGTCTTAATTTTTTGAAAAGAAAGGAAACTTACTTTTAAAACCTTTTTAAGCTTCAAAAAGCTTTTCTTAAGATAAAGGAAATAGTATTAAAACAATTTATATCAATAGCATTTTTGAAACATCTCTATTGGTCTGTTTCACCTTGTCAAGATTAGATCTAAGCACAAAGTGCCAAGCCAGTGGCCCACAGCGCCCGACTGTGATGGATCATTCTGACGACCGCCCACCCAGAACACTGCTTTCCTTGCAGACCCTGGCTCTGCCCCCACCCACGTGTGCCGGGAAGCCAGTGGGCTGGCTGTGGTCCGTGGGTTGTGGCAGAGGTGACTGCACGTGGATTCCTCCCAGCCTGAGCCGCTGTGCTGGGAAGATGCCCGCGAGAGAGGAGAGCTCCCGGACGAGCACCAGCCCAGGGCAGCCTGGGGGGCCGAGCGGACGCTCGGGCCTGGGCCGCACCCCGCTGTGACACCCACCCTCAGAACCGAACCGCCTTGGGGCCACACCACAGGACTGCGAGGGGTGGGTCAGCCTGAAACTGACGTGAGACATCGAACAGGGGTAAACTCAGGTGCTTCTGTGCTCAGTCAGTAGCAGGGCTGAGGCTGCTGCCCTGCCAATGAGGCCAAGCTGTGAATAAATTCACTTTCCCCTTTTTAGGGGGTTTTCTGGTTCTCTTCGAGGGCCGGGTAGGGAAGCAGCGTCGCCGGCCGAGGGAGCACTGTGGGAGGACCCCGATGAACGCAGCCAGCATGGGCTGAGGCCACCCCGAGCGAGTCCCGGGACGTGGGTCAGCGGCAGGGATGGGTGCAAACCGTGACCTTCCCTATGTCAGGACATCCTGGTCTGCATGTGAATATGGCTGTGAGGAATAGGACCAGGCCCTTCCGATCCCAAACCCCTCCGAGTATCAGCCTTTTCCGTCCCTTCTGGGCCGACGTTGTGTCAGCGAACCCAACGTGCTCAGAAGGGAAAACCGAGTGACCACGAGGCCTCCGGGGCGCCCCCAGAGCCTGCCCGGCACCCACCTGCAGGGTGGGGGACGTCTTCTCCATGCTGCCCCAACTCAGCACCCAGACCTGGTCGTGCGATCGGTCGTAGTGCAGCTTCACGGGGACCGGGTCCGTGCTCACTGCCTGCGAGGAGAGGGAAAGGAGTTCGGATGAAAACGGGCCCAGACTACAGGACGTCCCCGAACCTTGAGGTCACATTAAAAGAGCATCTTGCCAACTGTCCAGCTTTCTGTTCCCTATTTGATTCATTTGGAAACATGATCCTTTACACAGCCCATTTTTCTTCATCACTGTGTAATCATATGTCGTCTTCTGTTGATTCACGACCTGTACATCACGAGTCACAGAGAAGCCATTTAGAAATCCAGGACGAGAGGGATGAAAAGGCTCGTGTTTGCCCAGTGTTAGACACAGGTGAGAACCATCGTTATACTGCCAGGGTTTGGGTCTTCAGGCTGACCATGCCCTGTACGTGAAAATGCCAAAAATCTGACGTATGGCTATAATGTTAGTACCTGCCTATCTAATGTAATTTCTTTAATAAGAAATCCAAAATTAGAGAGGGGGAAAAAGTAGCAATTAAAATGTTTTCTTGTTTATCCATTCACCTGTGGATGGACATAGAGGCTGTTTCCAAGAATTAGCTAAAATGAATTGTGCTGCTATGAACATGGGCACTCATCCACCACTGGAATATGATGTCTTGAACTCGTTTGGGAAGCTTTCTAGAAGGGCAATAGCTGAGTCGAATGGAATTTCCAGTTTCAGTTTTTTGAGGAAACTCCATACTGATTTCCAATGTGGTATTTATACACAACAGAGTTTTACTCTGCCATAAAAATGATAAACTTAAGTCATTTGTAGGAAAATGGATGCACCTGGAAACCATAATGTTAAGTGAAGTAAGTCAGACATACAAGCTTAAATATCACGTGTTTTCTCTTATGTGAGGAACTACATATATAGAGAGAAATAAATATATATTTATAAATATTAATATATATTATGAAGTAAAAAAAAAGACTGATAGAGAAGAGAGAGAAAAGTATTATAGTTCAGAGAGGACAATAAATCTAAATGTGTACCTTGACTTCATACAATTGTCTTACATGTTTTGTATGTTCTTCAGCCTATTAGACTGGTTTTCAATCTGCATAAATGATAATTAAGTTTATAATGTTTTATAAGATAAATTCATCTGATGCTGAAAAAATAGAAGGGGGTGGAGGGAAGGGGAAAAATAACTGGAATGTGTTCTATACAGATACTAATTCCCTACAATGGGTGTGATCATTATGAACTGCATATATGGACTAATAAAGGTAAAAAAATATTTACCACACTTGGTAGGGTAAATGTGTTTTTTTCTGATAATATTTATAGTATTAAGGATTTACTTAAAATACAACTTCCTGAAAGAAAACTGTTGCCCAGAAATTATTTTACTCACCTTAATTTCAAGCTATTTATAATGCAAGTTAATACTTTTTAAAAATAATTTCCTATAGTAACATATATTTTCCAAATTTATAGCAGAAAATACATGTATCCACTAAAGTAAACTTTATGCAATAATGGAAGCCTTTCAAAGTCTCTGTAATTACAGAATTTTCCAAGTCTTAATTTGCAATGCAGTACTATTCTCATTGGATTAGTAACAGGTAAACTACATTTGTGCTTGGATGTATGGAAATTCATATTTTAATTATTGGAAATTTAGACTTACTACTGCCTGTATTCTAAAACTTCCCCATGCATTTTCCCTGTTTAAAATTCCCTATATTCATGCATTACTGAAATAATTCATGAACTCCCGAAAGACCTCTTGAACCGTTTTTGTGTCCATAGTCTCCCCTCTTCCTGCCCCCAGAGACACAGTGCAGTCTGCACGCGGCTCAGCAGAGCTCACTGCTAGCAAGCACCCCCTCAGTGGCACTGGTTTGCAGCAACGCCAGGCACCCCCGATGCACCCAGGCTTCCCAGTCACTCCAGAGCCCAGGAGCAGTGACATGAGCCATGCCAGCGCCTGCTCTGGGGGGCCAGCCTGCTGTGAGCTTTCTGAGGGTGGAGATGCATCTCCACCTAGATGGCAGCAGGAGAAGGCCTCCCGCCTCACTCCTTTCTTCTTGTGTTCAAACCCGAGTGTGAGGACTTCAGCGCCCAGTTTCCAAAGCCATTTTGAGGCTGTAATACAATAATCTTAAAAAGGCCAATGATTTAAGGATGCAGCAGGAGAAAAAAAAGGAGACTGAATTCTTGGTAATAACACTGAGTTACTGCACAAAGCCAGAACACCTATCCCTGTATTTGGTGTTATTAAGGTAATTCAGTGGTTTACCGCTGAAGAAATAGTCTAGTATTTTGTTAATTGTGTTTGAATGAATGGCAGATGTTTCATCTAAATTTCTGCACGGACTGATCAATACTTTCAGTGCATATCCACCTTTCATCGGTCAATGAACTAATGACAAAGCAGTAAGAGTCCTTTGATTTTTCCTATTTTGTCCTTTACATGTTGACCTTGATCTCTGCGTAATTGTTATAGTCAGCATATTTTGCACGCAGCTTAAAATGCAATAAGCTTGAAATGTTGAAAATAGAATATCTCCACATAAAGAAAAGAAACCCTAACAAAACCTCATGGTTATTCAATTGTAAGAACATAATAATAAAATGAGCAAAATTCTGTAAATAACTACAAAAGACCTATTGGAGTGAAAATTTCCAGTTTGCCAGTTATCTCAAGGTGACTTTTCTCCTCACCAGGACTTTCCTAAGTGTTGTTCTATACGATGCACTGCAGGACACATATCGGCCCATTCAGGGCCGTAAGAGACCCCAGGCTGTCCTGTCTGGGATCATCCAATTGGACCCCTCCCACAAAAGAGCCTCACCTTGTTGGCTGATAGTTTCATTCCTGATAATATACGAGTTAATTGCCTCCCATTTGAGCTTCACGTGAAAATACTCTTCTGGGGCTCTGCTGCCTTTGGAGGGTGGAAGGAAACCCACAGGGGCTGAGATCTATGCAGATTTGCCTCCAGAAGCAGTGCCGGGCAGTGGAGGACCACAAAGGCAGAAGGTGTGCTGCTCATGAGCCGACCTCAAATCTCACCTACGCTGACAGTAACAAAACAATCTTTGGCTCAGGTTCCCCTATGTTTAAGTAGAAATGATGAATATCAACTTCCAAAAGTTGTTGTGAGGCAGTAGGAGAGGCAAGACCTAGTATGTAACACTCCCAGGCACGTGCAGGCGCAGAGTGCGAATGTCAAGCATTGCTCGCCTAACTCAGGACTGCTACCACCACAGAAAAGGGGCTACGGTGTGGCTCCACGGCTGTGCTTGTCTAGCACATGTACATTTCTAGGTTCCTTCTCCAAAACCATAGAGGAAAAGAAAGAAGAAAACTAATGGAACGGGCGTTATCCTCCTATTAGCATTTTAACATCTATTGGCGAGTATGCTACCATTACGATGTGTAAAGATTTAGAGATGCAATACCTTTATTTAGCAAAGGAAAACCTAGGAGAGAAAGTCAATAAATAAAGTCTCTTTACTTAAAGAACATAGAACAGAGGGCGAAAGAAGCGCTTAAAATAAGATGACAAGCATCATGAAGTAGAACAGGGAACAGACGCTATGGGAGTTCAGAGAATGAAGCACAACACAGGTGAAGGACAGAGGCAGAGGCATTTTAATTTCGGCCTCCAGCGTGAACACTTTTATCTTGAGAAGGCAGATAATATTTTAGTTAACTATGAGAATATTTCACAGGAGGTTCCAGGAGACAGTGCTGGATCAACTGCCTTTGAGTATAACAGGATGCCTATTCGGAGGAGGGGGCATCAACCAAGTTTCAAAAACCTTCAGAACTGGAAAATGTGCAGTGAGCTATGGAACCATGAAGTGCTTTGTGTTCAGCATTTCAAAAGACTGTTCCTGAATTCAGCTACTGTGCAGGATTTTGATGTTGGTTATAAAAGATCAACAGAATGGGAAAAGATCATGTAACTCAAAGAGAAGAAAAGTAATATGATATAATTAATTTAGAAAAAATTAATTCTTAGGAAAAAATCTGCTTGCAAGTGTTTGAGAATAAAACAGCACATTTTACAGAGGGAACATTACAGGGTTTTCAGCAACAAATAGGGTAGAAATATTGCCACACGACCACCCTCACAACCCTTCTAGAACCTAATTTTCTGTCAACAGTGGATGTTTTCCTACTTGCACCATCAGCCTTGGGAAGGAATAATCACATGTATGAATTTTACAATACATCTGCAAGTATATTCTGAAACTGACCTGGAAGGATCCGTAAGCTGAGACTGCTTGCTTAGTGCAACAGGAAGAGCAGTATTTTGGACACTTTAATCCTTCCTTCTGCCACAAGAAGACCTGGAGCCTGGCACAGGACAGGACAGGAAGCCCCTCGGGATCAGAGCGTCAAGGCCCTGGGTGGGGCCCGGTGCACACAGAGCAGAGGTGTCCCAGCTCCTCCCCAGGGACACTGCAGCTTCTGCAGTGGCCTCGCTCCTGATCTCCCGATCCTGCCACGGCCTCCTCTGCCACTGGAGCCACACTGACTGAGGGTGCTCTGGACACTTGACAGTGCTGGACACTGCACCCTCACCTCTGCTGCCTGCTGCCTACTGCCTTCTGACCACTGGGGACTGACCCCTGGGCACCGACCCCTAATCGCTGACCAGTGACACTGACCGCTGGGCGTAAGTCATGGGCACTGACCGGCCTGGCCCTGCAGCCTCCCACAGCCTCGGCTCTGTCCACTCGGCCTCTGTTCCCCTTCCTTTCTGCTGCATTCAACATCTGGTCACTTTACAGTTTATATCTTATTATGTGGTATTCGCATTTTATTGTCTGTCTCTTTCCAGAGGATTCTGGGCTCCAAGAAGCCAGGTGTTCAGTTTGCTTTGTAAGTGACATGACTCGTGCACTTAGAATAGCCCTGTGAAAGTCGGAATAGCTTATACACCTCTACATCCATGAATCTGGAAAAGTTAACTGAAAATTATACAGCACACCAAATGATTACTATTAAGATCATTATTATTTAATTTAACAAAAACAATTATTTACAGAAACCATTCTGTAACAGGCTG